AAAAATCATAATTTTTAAATTGCACTTTTAAGAAAAACTGCAGCTTCAGGGCATAAAGCTACTTAAGGTTACAGCCCATTTTTCCCTTTCAGGAAACTACTCCAAAAGTTTTTTTCCAAGGGTCTTAAAGACACATGAAGCATGCAAGGTGTGAGCCTTGTATCTCATCCCAGATTCCCGTCTTGATTCCTTCCACCTTCACACTTTCCTCCAAGCTTCGAACACATGCAAATGCTTTGCTTTCTAACATGGCCCACCACATGGGTAACTTGGCAGACAGTAGAAATACATACCCTAGGTCACCTATTTTGAGGACACCCCACAAGATTACCTGAAAAGCTCCAAGCCCAGACCGAATATACTTCTCTCTTGAGGGCCCGCACTCTTTCTCTCAGTGTACACTTCTTTAATTCTGCCTAATAAACCTTTCTGATGCCTCTCATTCTGCACCCTGAAAATTATTTTCCTGTGATGAGAATCAGTGAACCTACTACCTACCCGACGGGTGGGGTGAGCTGAGGTCCCCATCTCTTCTTTGGAGGATCTCCTTGGACCCTGAAAGTTCTAATAGTTTTTTCAGTTGTTTTCCTCTGAACTGTCTGCAGAGACAATTGTAATAAATAGCAGTGCTCAGCCTCAGTCAGGCACCTAAGGATCTACACATACTGACTCATTTAATTTTTGCAATTGCTTTATGAGATAGTAACTTACTAGCTCTGCTTTTTAGCTGAGAGGTTAAGTGACTTACCCAAGCCACACAGTAAAGGCTTGCATTGTGTTTACCTCTCTATGGTCTTATTTGCAAATAATAGATTCACTCCTTCTGCAGTACTTTTGCTTAATTTTAATTTTTTTTTCATGTAACATTTACCAGCACTCTTAAGAGTACTGCCACAGGCCTGAACTAGGAGGAGGAGAGCAAGTTGCTCACTTCAGTTGCAAAACTTAGGGAGGCATCTGAAAGTTCATTAATCAGGACAAAGAATATTATAATGAATACTAGCACCACGTAAGACTTGGAAGCAAAAGGAGAAATTAGCAACACTGAAAGCTGCCTTTGTTTGAAATTTATATATTTTGTTCTTAAAGAATTTTTGGAATTAATTTTGACTTAGTAAATATTTTTTTACTGAGGAGTAAGGGGTTTTTAGTTTTTGAATTTTTAATCGACATGCAGTCACTGTACCTATGATAATTTTCTAGTTTTGGGGGCACATTCTCCAATTCTGTACCTTGGGCAAGTTCCTTGCTCACAGAACCCCTGTCCTAGCTCCGACTCTGTGAGAGTCTTCCCTCACTCTGAGGGGAAGGTTTCTTCTCTTTCATTTTTTAGTGTAAAGTTTATTGTGAGGTTTTCCCTATATTTTCTTCATAAATTAACCCTTTTATTCCTGATTTTCTAAAAACTTTTACGGGGAATAGCCATTGAAATTAAACAAATAAAAGATGACCATTTGGTATTTCCCCTCTAACCTAAGAGCGTAATAAATTCCAAAGATTGTGAGACAATGTGTTGTTATCCTAAATAAACAATAAGCATCTTTATGGGTAAATTATTTTATGTCATCTAGATTACATCCTTAGGGAAAATCCTCAATGTAGGTTAGTGGACAGGAGTTTCATTTTAATCTCCTTTATTTTACACTATTCCCAAGTGAAGCACTTTTTTTTAAGTACACTTTTATCAGTTTTAGCAGTGATCCTTTGCTAGCATCTTGAGGACTGTGACACACACGTCCTGGAGGCTCTCATACGGTTTTCTATCATGGTTCATGAGAAGCTATACAGTATTGTGAAACTTGTTGGGGTCTTTCAATGCCTTTTATAGGAGATGGAAAAAAACATCCACGTATGGTGGGATTCCTGCTATAGAATCCCATAGTATGCCTGAGTGGCACAGAAAAATCGACTAGGGAGGAGCCAGAGAAGTCACTACCTCTTTCTTTGTGGCATGGCTGGGAAGGTGGGGTAGAGATGATTTCACGAGTGACTCATCCAGGACAGGTCAACCTCTACTCTCTTCCAGGAGACCCTGTGCCTGTTGTTGTGCCTGTTGGTTAGCAGTGTAGGGTGTGCCCCGGAACGAAGCCCCTGCAAGTGCTAACGTGAGGTGGCAAGGTGCCCAGGAGGTGCAGGGCCAGTGGCTGAGCAGTGCAGGGACATCTCTGTAAGGACGAGGGCCTGCTTGTGTTCTCAGCTCCATTGCCATGCTCAGTATAGAGCCCAGTCCCCAGGTGTACTCAGTAACTGCCCAGTGATCAGCAAGAGAAGGCATCGCTAAATCCTGCCGGGTCATGCCAGTAAGGACTAAGCTGAGAAGGAATATGAGAAGTCATTGAAAATCTAACCACGTTTGTATCCCCAAAGCCAAGGAAAGTTGTTGTATTGTTTTGTTTTGTTGGTACAGGGAATTGAATCTGCAGCCTTTTCATGAGCTACAGCTCAGCTTTTTTTTTTTTTTTTTTTAAACAGGGTCTCCTTAAACTGCTAAGTTGCCCAGGCTGCGTTCAAACTTGGAATCCGCCTACCTTGGCCTCCCAGAGTTTTGGGATTACAGGTGTGCACCACCTAGCCCAGCAGAAAGAGTGTTGTAAGTGTAGGGGATGAACACCATTGCACTGAGTTGCTGAGAAGTCACAGCAGATACAAAACATTTAACGGTAGGCAAAAAAGAAAACTGTCATAGTAATGATTTGTTTTCTTAAAAGAGGTATGGATGTTCTTTGGTGCATGATAGGAAATTCGGACACGGGTGGTGTAAGGTTGGGGCAGCACTCCACAAGGCCAGCGAGGACCCACCTCCTTCTCTCTGTCTCTTTCCATGGGTAGTACTGTAGGTTAGATTTCCTCCTGTGTCACAAAAGGGCTGTTGCACCTGCAAACACCAAGCCCATTTCCACAGCTGACAAAGTAGAGAAAGGAAAAAGCATAAAGAGCCAGGCAACTGGGTCTGACCATGTTCTGCAAAAATGCAAAGGTTTTCCCCAGAATATGCTTTTACTTTTCTTTCTTTGATGACATGTAAGTATATATGCAGTCACTTTTCTGGCTCACTTCCTGATTTTTCCTCAAAAATCTTGAGCTTCCATCTCTGTTTAAATCGGCAGTGTAGTTCATCCTCTGTGCTTAAGGAGCGGTCCCCAAGGTGACTGAAAAGATTGGGATTGTGTTAGAGGCGAGGAGGAGGGACAGAGGTTGGACAATGGATGCCGTCTGTTACAAAAGTTATATTTTAAAAGATTCAAATAGAACCTGCTCCATAATTTGCAAGTTCCAGTGAAAAATGAGAACTCAAAATCCTTGTTCAAGATTTGTTATGAATTTTTGAGACAGCAACAGTGGAGCATTACAGCGATCATAGGCCTTCCTCAGTTCAGCGTCTAGGAGCGAGCAGAGGCGCCACGCCCATGAAATCCACCCTGGATGCGAAACTGTCCCCAGAGCCGGGCAGGCAGGAGACCCTTGGTCAATCTGCGAGAACTGGGGAGGACAAAAAGGAGAGAGAATGCAGGGGGCTGAGGAGTGAATGTGAGGTGAGGAAGTGGAGAAGCACCAACACCCCTGGGAGAAAATAGACAGAGGAGGAAGCTGAGAAAATAGGGGAAAATAGAAGAAAGTGGGTGGAGGCCAAATGTATCCAGCAAACTGCTGCTCAGCGCTTTCTGTCTCTTAGCCCTGGGCCAGCTTGTGCTAGAGCTTGGGGGTGACTTTCCCAAGGCAGGTGGGGAGGGGCTGGACAAGGGCTGCACTCAGCTGCGGGGAGGCCCAGCCCTCCGCAGAGCTCCGGGCCCTGAAGGGGGACCAGGATCCAAGCCACTTCTGCTGTGGATGAGCACACCCCCATTCCTGCACCTTAGCTGGCTCCCCTGTCACACACAGCTCACTGGAGGGTGACCTGTGCACAGTTGTCGCCCTTTGAGCAGACACCGCCTCCCGCTGCACTGCTATTGGCCCCAGCCCCTCAATGCTAATTTTGAGGGGTGTTAATTTTCAGAGATTCCATAAATATATAATGATGATACTGCAGGAAGAAGAGAGGAAGCAGGAGACAGTATCAGTTTATGGAAATCTACTCCCTCCTCCACCTCCTCTGCCATCTTCAGAGCTCTGGGCTATGCCACTGGGTGATGTAAACAGTGCTTCAGTGATGTCACCCCCCCACACCAGTGCCAGGAGACGTAAATTTCATTTCCCAGAAGATGCAGCAGACAGGAGCTTCTGGGCAAGCAGTGACTCTAGCAATAAATTATTGGCAGAAGGGAGAGACTTAATGGGAAGGCTTGTGATCCTACAGCAGCCAGGCTATAAATCTAAACTGAGGAGGGGCTTCCTTTAGATCAGAAGATGGATTCATTAGCAGCAAAACAAATAACCCCAAAGCCCACTTGGAAGTATTGGGCACTAGAAGAAAAAGAATCAAGATGTGATACATGTATGTACCAATACCCCATGATGAATGTATTCATTATGTGCGGCAAACATAAACCAACAAAACATGTTTAAATAAAGCTGTGCTGTTCACTGTAGTAGCCACATGTGGCTATAAATTGAAGTTAATTAAAATTAAATATAATTTTAAGTTCACCTTCTCGAAAAAAGTACTAATAAAAACCACATCTAACTGAGATAAAAAGAAGCAGACACCTTTTGCTAGGAAGAAAAAACATCCCTCTCAGAGGGGAGCAGACCCCAGGGAGGCTCCTGTGATCCTTGGGAGGACAGGGCAGCAGGCTCGGAGCTGGGCAGTGGGGTCTTCTTACCACCTCGTAGTCAAGACAGGAGTGTGGCAACCTACACTACGCCTGACTGAACTTACCTGAGAGTCACAAAAATGAAAACTGAATGGAGAATACCAAGGGTGCACCCAGAAAGCAAAGGAGGGCAGGTTGCAAGCTTAAATCTGTCCCGTTGCTATCACTTGTCAACACAATGCACTGGGAAAAAAAGCATAGGGCATTTCAACTAACTGAATATGAATTCCATGTGGTCTCCCTCCACAGCGAGAGTTCACACCAAACGCAGCCTGCAGGAAGAAACCAGAGGCCTTGTTCATCTTGCAAGATGCCTGGGCATCTAAGACGTCAGAACATACTTTCCAAAGGTGATGCCACCACCCAGGATAAACTCCTGGTAGACTAGACCTGGGACATGCAATCCACTCCGTGACAGGCCAAGGCCAAGGGCAGCCCACACTGAGGAAGGGAGCTGGACTCCTGCTGTGATGGCACCTGCATGAGTTCCCAGGCTGTTCTTCTAGAATTTTTGCGTAGGGCAGGGATGTTAGGCCATAGCTATTAATGTCCCCACTGTTCCCTCAGATGAGGAAATGAGTATTCAGAGAGGTTAGAGGATATGCCTTGGGTCACACAGACCTGGGGCTTCTCTCAAATCTCAAACTGTTCTTACTGTCCTGTGCTGCAGTGTCAGACATTCCCACTGGGCATGGGAGAAGAGTCAGCGGGAATTCCACCTTTGGAGCAAGATGCTTCTATGTCCACAGGTTGGTCTGGAGACTCATTGTGGTTTTCCAATAGACCTGACAGTGAACCCTACTCCGGAAGTGCTCTCAGCAGCCTGGACCAAAGTCACTTCCTCCATAGTCTGCGGCCATCTTTTCTTCAAGCTGAAGCTGGGTCAGAACTGGCAGGTAAGAGGGTTGGGGCCTGAGCTCTTTACCCCATAGGATGTTTGCTCCGACTGGAGACATAGATTCAATGCACCACACTTGGACCTGAGAACCTTCATCAAAGAGTCCTCCCAGGGGAGTCATTGTTAAGGCTGGCTGAGGAACTGTAGCCAGAGGATGCTACCTTGGGGACAGGTACCATTTCTTATTCATTTATTTCACAGTGCCTACCATGTGGTAAACTCAAATTTGAATACATTTTGAATAAAAACACCTGGATCTGGTCTTAATTATGCCACTTAAAGGCCAAGTGACAGTAAGCAAATCCCTAAAGCTCCTCAGCTCATATCCCCAGCAAGGTGCCTTAGACCAATGAAGTAGTGAGGAATAAATGAACTGAAGTGTGTGAAAGAACTTGATGAATGAAAATGTTCTAAAAATGTAAAGGTTCAGGAGGAAGTGGTGCTAAGGTTAGAAATGCTTTTCTTGTCACTTTTTATCTGTCCTTGCCAATTTCACACTTGCAGCTTAGCCTCATATACACTGGAAAGATGGTGGATGGATGAGGTAGAAAGATAAATCAGCCACAAGTTGCTGACCATTTCCAATACCCCTCTATCTCACGAGAAGCAGCAACATTCCTAAAAGTGCATCTGCAATTACCGTGGCAACCTGGGGATGGCACACCTTGCAGCCTGGTGTCCAGAACATTGGTCTTGTGCAGATACTCTGTGTGTGTGCGTGTGTTTGTGCCCAGGGAAGAGTGGGTTGGTTCACCTCTTCTGCACACTGAAATGGTTATTCAGAGAACAGGAAGTGCCTACAAAGAAGACCAGCGTTTATCCCCAGTGTACACAGGAAGTGGGTTTTTTTGATGCTTTAGTCCAGGGATTCATGTGTCATGGACCCCAAACTAAGAATGATTTTTACATTATTAAATGGGTGAAAAATCAAAAGAATATGTCATGGCCTGTGGAAGTTACGTTAAATCAAATGTCAATGTCCATTAAACACCATTTCATCAGAACTCGGCCTACTGCCTTTCACACCACTTGTGGCTTCTTCCACAGTGGAAGCCAAGCTGTGAAGGAGGCTTGGGCCCACTCAGCTTGAAATATTTACTCTGGGGGCCTTTACAGTAAAGGGTTGCACATCTCTGGTCCAGGCCTTAAATTCAAGTGACCTTCACTCAGAAGGGATGGGTGTGGATTTCACTTATCCTGGGGGCACATGACAAACCAAGCACTACCCTGTCTTCACAGGCCAGCTGAAGCACCAAGCCACATCACAGTTCAGTGTGCTCCTAGCATGTGTAAAGAACTCATGGTATGAAGCACTGTGGCCCCGACACAGGGTCCTGACCACTTCAGACCCCACAGAGGGGCCTGTCCTGCAGCAGTGGACTGAAGTACCTTCAGCAGACGGTCCCGTGGGTGTCTAGACATGGGATTGCTCTCACACCCAGGCACCACCCTGTGCCAGCCAATTCCAACTGGCATCTGCAAACAGGTGTGGGTAGACTCATAAAGCTGAAGTCCCTTGGGCCACATCTGCAGCAGTCCATGGGTTACCTGCCTTTGATGGATAGCTGTGTCCCCTGTTCCTTTAGTGGATTGTTTTATTGTTTTCCCTGTTACCTTTTTATGGCAAGTACTGCATGCACTCTGGTCTCTCCCTTTCTTCACATTCCCTGCTTCACATGGATTTATAATATCTCCTTTCTGGGTGGCCTCACAAGGCCTATTCTGATGCCACCTTTAGTAAGGCTTGTGGGGGGCAGAGACCAAGCCAGCAATGGACAGCACCAGGTGTGCAGCAGTGCCGACGAAGAGGTGAAATGACAAAATAATGTTCAGTGTCAGCAGCCCTCGTGTCAGCTCGTTTAGTGCAGAAACAATGGGTCCCTCCATCAAGTGTGATATGGCCAGAATAATGGAGGAGGCTTTCAGGCCAGGTAGCCAGCTTTCAAGGTTCAGTGCATGCTTGGCACTTCATGATGGCACCTAGAAGTGGAGCTCAAAGAAAGCAGACAAGGCCAGCTGGGCTTTGGAGAGTGAGCCTTTGTAAGAAATATGGACAAATCTCCTGAAGCTGCTAAATGCAACAGGATGTACGTGTAGAGGGTTGTCCCCAGGGGGAAAAAAAAATTGGCAAGGGGAGGGGTGGCCACAGGAAGTTGTCCTGTCAGAAAATAAACTCTGGTCCAGGCATCCATGGACTCAATATGGAGGGCAGAGGGCATATCTCCGCTCCTTGGAGGAAGACTGCTATGGCAAAGAGGGTACTGTTGGCTATGGAAGGGCTCCCAGGTGGGACAAACCATGTAACATCAGGGGAAAGATTGAATGGGCTGTGAAATTTACAGAAGAAAGACTTAGGTAGGTTAAGGAACAGCAGTGCTTTGGGTCCTGCAATCTGCCCTTCTGCGCAATGCTTTGAGGTTCTGTTTTGGTTCAGCTGGGCTGCAGACTGCCCCTGTGTGCTGAACCAGTGAGCAACACCCACCAGGTTTACTAGAACAACCCCTCCATCTGTGAGGCCCCAGGTTGGCACCCTGAACGAACAGATGACTTGACCCTGGAGCACCCAGATCTTCCCATCGTTTCACTCTGTGCTCCTTACCTCTCAGCCTTGCGCTCGGCTGGCTTCCTTGATGGGAAGGTGGCCACCACAGACTTAAGCATCGTGTTCTTGTACATGAAACCTACCCAGCTGTACATGGGACTGGGTCTCTCTCAGGCTCATTTTTAAGGTTGAGGAAATTGTCACAAGAAACTCTTCTCTGCAGCCTCCTCCTCTGGCCCAGTAGCTAGAACAGGGTTATATTTCCATTGCTGATCTTATCTTGAGAAGGAGGAAAGAATGAGCAGGCCTGGTGTGCATGGGGGCCCAGACTGAGACACTGTAAAGTCACCATCGCTGACCTCAGGAACACTCTTAGTGCTGGTTTGCATTTATACTTTCTTCTACTCTATTTTCCTACACTAGCCATTCTCAGACTGAAGCGTCAGAGTCACGTGGAAGGGTTGCTGAAACACAGACTGACAGACTTGGTCACAAATTCCAGATTCAGATCCAGAGTGGAGCCTGGGAATCTATTTCTGACCGGTTTGTAGGTGATGCTGATTGTCTGGGTTCCAGGTCATACTTCAGAAGCCACTGTTCTGGATCACTGCCTCTTCACCTGTCCAAAATAATCACAATTCCCATAACCTCCTTCCTCCTCAACTAACACTTCCCCCAACTGCTGTAATCTCAACCATTTAAACTCGGTGCCTTTTTCACTGAGAAAAAGGATAAACAGAGAGGAAACTGTTCCCTGGCCATTGGACCTAAGGTGTGCTTGTTTATTTCCATTTCCTTCCTGCAACTCAGGACAGTCATGCCCCTGTTAAGGCCCCCTTGTACTGCTGCAGCTAATCTCCCATATGGGTCATTTACATCCTAAAAGAAAACCAAACTACAGCAAAACAAATAAACAGAAACCTCCATTGCCCCTCAAGTCCCAATATTACCTCCACTGTCCAATTTCCTTTCCAGCAAACCTCTTGAGGTCCCTATCTCTGCTCACTCCCTCCCCTCTTTTCCTTTATTCTCTCTTGAACCCAGACTAATCAGACCTTTGTTCCCAACAATTTATTGACACTGCACTTGTCAAGGTTAGTGTCTTAAAATATCCGAGACTGGGTAATTTTGTTTTGTTTTTTGAGACAGGTTCTCAATATGTAGTTTATGCTGGCCTTGAACTCACTCTGTAGCCCAGGCTAGTCTTGAACTCACTGCGATCATCCTGCCTCAGCCTCCCAAATGCTGGAATTATAAATATGCACCACCATGCTCAGCTTGACTGGTTAATTTATATTTATTTATTTATTTATTTTTGGTACCAGGAATCGGACTCATGACTTCAGGCTTGCCAGGCAAGTGCTTATGCTGCTAAGCTGTATCCCGGCCCTTGACTGGATAATTTCTAAAGAAAAAAATTATTTCTTACAGTTTTAGAGGCTGGGAATTCCAAGGTCTAGGCCCACATCTGGTAAGGCCTTCTTTTATGGGACCTCCATACAGAGCTCCAAGGAAGCACAAAGGCATCACATACAAGGAGCTCAGAAGAGGCAGTTGAACTAGTTTTTAACAGACCCATTCATAACTAACCCATCCCCTCCATAATATCTACTAATCCATGAATGAATTGATCCAGGCATGAAGGCAGAACTGTCATGACCTAAAATGACAATCTGAACATTATCACATGGCTAGCTTCCCACTTGAGCTCCCATTTAATCACCGTCCAAAGGCCTTACACCAAACACCAGTTACTTCAGAGAGGAAATTTCCAAGAGATGAGGTCTGAGGGACACAGAGTCGAAGCATGGCTTCCTGGTCACTCTGGTGGTGCTGTCTCAGTTCTCATGTCACCAGCACGCTCAGCATGGCCCTTGTTCCCGTACTCTCCCCTGCCTCGTGACTGCTGCCTCCCAGTCTTCTCCTCTGGGTTTGCTTTGCTTCCCAGACCACTAACCCCTAGCACGTCCCTGGACTGACAGCTCTCTAGCTGCACTCTCTGACAGTTTAAGTCATTTTATCTAGGGTTGCAATTTTGAATGTCCCCTACAGGCTGTGACTCCCAAATTTACATCTTCAGTCCAGACTTCCCAGAACTCCAGAGACGTGCGTCCTCTGGCTCTGTTGCCTGCAGATCCACAGTGGGTATGTCAGAGTCAGCATCTCCAAACCCAACCTCACACACACACACACACACACACACACACACACACACACACACCTCTTCCTACCCTCAGCAATAGAAACTCTATTCTAGTTCCTCAGGCCCCCAGCTTGGAGTCAGGCTTGGCTGTCTTGTTCACATACCACATCCAAACCCTAAGCAAAAACCTTTGCTCTACAGCACTCTCAAAATATATCTAGCACCTGACCCCTTCTCGCACCTTTTTCTGCCACCAACTCTGGTACCAGCCATTCTCATCTCCTGCCTCCATTACTATACAAGCA